CTCTCTCTCTCTCTCTCTCTCTCTCTCTCTCTCTCTCTCTCTCTCTCTCTCTCTCTGTGTGTGTGTGTGTGTGTGTGTGTGTATGTGTGTGTATGGTTGTTCTGTGTGGCCTGTGGAATAGGTATATCCTATGGTTTCTTTTGATGGTTGAGATCTGAAGGAGGACCATTATTGACTACTGGCTGTTCTGCCAACAGCACTATATCTAGCACCCCCCACACTCTGCACCAGAGATTGCAAAAATGCTGCAAGCATTTACCTCCATGTTATCGGTGAGTTTGCTCTCATCCTCTTTCTCTTCTTTTTTTTTTTCTTTCTGAAAGAGTCACCTCTCATCCTTTTTTAGCCTGTATTCTCTCTATTAACTGCTGGCAGCAACCACAAAAAGTGGATGGATGGGTTGGAGCTTCTTCATTTTTTTTTTTGAATTGTGAAGTCAGAGACTGGCTACTTCCATCAATAGGATGAGCAAAATCGGAATCAATCTTCCGCTAGAACGTGGAAATATACACTGCATTCCAGCCATGCGCGCAGAGAGATAGAGAGAGGCTACTTCGATCCATAGGATGAGCAAAATCGGGATGAATCTTGGACTAGAACATGGAGATACACTGGCACTTTTTTTTTTGTTTGTTTGTGTGTGTGTGTCTGTGTGAGAGAGAGAGAGAGAGTTAGACAGATACACACACACACACACACACACACACTCACACAGAGAGAGAGAGAGAGAGAGAGAGAGAGAGAGAGAGAGAGAGAGAGAGAGAGAGAGAGCGGACCGGGCGCGTGGCATGGTCGGTGGCTTTTCCTGTACTGACCAAGTGGGGTCGTTTTCCAACCCGAACCGCGTCCCGCCAGAAGCCAAAAATGGAAAAAACAAAACAAAACAAAAAAACATCATGGCATGTCACAGATTCGACATCTATGGCTGCCATTGTATAAACACTGGAGTACAGCAACAGAACTCAGACAGGAACTTGGTAATATGAGTAATATTGAAATGCACTTATCAAGGCTCTTTTTTTTTTTTTGACAGAAAGAAGCTCCAGTCTATTCGTGGGGAGCAGTGCTGGGAACCGGGCCCAGCGTCCCATATGAACAAACATCAGTTTGTAACACTGGGGCCATTATCCGGCTTCGGCTGAGAAAAACCTGAGAACAGAAAAATTATAATGCTGATGATACTAATGATGCCAGTGATGACAAAAAAATGTAGCTACACATGCTGAGTCGGCCATACTGGACTCCCAATCCTGAACAACTCCAGGCCCTCCCTTACCAGGATATTGCAAGTCTAGATCAAGACAAACCTATCCCCCCACTGCCATAGCTGATCTCTCCTCACTACCCAGACTAACCCCACCCCATAGGTTGTCAAGGTAGCCCCTCCTGGTTCACCATTGGCTTGCTTTCCTCCCTCAGCAAACCCCAGCTCTCTCTACAAGGCCTCCCGCACCTGCCAATTACAGGTTACAGGGCTATGCCCCAGCTCTGGCCAGCGTTGTTCTGGCATCGGCAATCCAGGAGCACAGAACAAAGCAACTTCAGCAGTTATCAGTCTAGGTTCGACGATCCCTGAATTCCTATATCCCAAATAAAGAAGAAGAACAGGTGCTGCCAAGACTGTAGAGCAGCAGGTGGCTGGTTTTGAAGTATTGAACTGTATTGAAATTATCAGATCTTTTTTTGACGCGTCGAGTTTATTAGATCGTGAAAAGGATACGCTTCCGTTGGTCACAGCTCAAACCAATCCATACCCACTGTGCCCTGTCTCATGCTGCCTCCACCGAGGAAAATCCCTCGGCCCCAACATAAAACAGATCCCCTCCCCTCCCTCCACCACATCCGCGAAGGCAACCAATCCCCTCCTAGAGGCTGCCTTTGCCCACCCCTTGTCCCTGTCTGCCCCCGCTGGGGATGAAGGCGACCAACTCTCCAACCCCGGCCCGAGACTCAGACAATCCCCAATCTGCCCTACTCCCAATAGGGCTACTGCCTCCCACCATGCAACACCCCTGTAGAATAAGGCGCCCCTGTAACAGACCCCAGGGTTAAGTTTTCGGGGACAGCGAACTAGTAGTCTATACCCACAACTGGCCGGCCCTATCTCTCCTTCCCCTAGCTTACCCAAGGCCAGACGGAGCCCAGGCTGACAGTCGTACCGTCCTTCCCCTGGCTTGTCCCCTAACTTAGGCCAGGCGGATCTCAGACCTGCTGTGGGTAACTACCGTATGGCTGTACCCTGGGGTCTCAAAAAACCCTTGCCTACCAAAATTCCAGCCGTAACTTCCGAAGTCCTATCCCTACTAAAGCGTCTGCAAAATTCAATGTTCAAAATCCCCAATTAGAAAAAGGAAACTCATGAAAAAACAAAATAAAAAAAATTATCCTCAAGAAGTAAGTAATCAAGAGATAGGTAATCGGGATATAGGTAATCAAAGTATAGGTAATCTAGATGTAGGTAATCAGGATATCGCTAATCAGGATGTAACATTAATGACTATTGGATAATTGGGTAGCCGAAAACGGTACCCTGAGACTGAAAGTTTTCAGATGATTTTAGTATTAATGATGGTAGTGATGATGATGGAAGTGTTATGGATGACTATTTGAGTGAAGCAAGCCTAAGATAGTAGTGGCGATCAACGTCGCCTACAGATGAATTACGACTGATGAAAAAATTGTGATGAGGGTGAGCATGTTAATGAAGCTGCCCAAAAGAAATATTAATTGCTGACCTGAAATGAGGATGATAGTGCTGATGATCATGATACTGCAGATGGTAAAAGTCACTATGGTAATGACTAAACACCCATAGGGCTGCAATGATGACTAGTAATCTTGATGGTGACTTGCTGATAGTGCATCGCCCGACACACTCGAATTTCATGGCGCGCCCTAGATCTTCGATATCTCCTAATCCGCTGGACCATTTGATCTGAAATTTGGACCACCTCAGCTCCTCGCCATAGACCACCGGTGGTCCAATTTTCAGCTCAGGGCGCGCACCCAATCGTGCGCAATCGTCGAGCGCGCGCGCGTTATTTTCCTTGCTTTGTGCAGTTTTCTAGCACGCGCGACTCCTCTTCGTGGCGGTAACCTTGATTGATGATTGTTGAAATGATAACGATGATGACTGGTGACTATGATTTCAATGATGATGATAATGATGATGAGGATGATGATGAGGATGATGATGCTGATTCTAATGATGATGATGATGATGATGATGATGATGATGATGATGAAGAATACTGCTGACGAGAGTCAACTTCCGATGGGAGAGATCACGATGAAAGTAAATGATGACGATGATGATAATGATGACGATGATCACTGATGACTACGATCAAGATGATGAAATTGCTAATTACGCGCCCTGTGGTGATGCACTAATGATGGTGATAATAGGGATGGGCAGCGCCCTAGCACCCTGAAATAGTAAAATATGAATGAGGTGCTTGCACGCTAGCCAACTTACCTTGTTTCCAATACTAGTAACGCAATATTACTGACAAGCTGCTCGCGGCCCCAGTTACCACCTTAATGATGATGAAGAGCATCACCCTGATGATATTGGTGGCGAAGGTGAGTCATGCTCGACAATAGTGATGATGAAGAAATGATGATGGCAATGACGAACAGCCCTGATGATGATGAGGAACCCCTACCATGTTCCTTTGAGCTACGGCCGATCCCTGATGCTGATGAACGAGAACGTCGGTGATGACGGATAGCTACTTCACTCGCACTTCGGGTCACCCAAGGCTCACTCCGCTGAACTCCACAGGCATCCCCAGAGACGACAGTGCCATACCTGCAATCTGGAAGGAATACTTGTTGAACGAGACGCTACTGAAGGACACACACATGGGTCACCGCTTCCTGGGGACTGCCTCCAAAGGTATGCTGTCCAAACAAGACACTCTCCACGTCTTGCACTCCCCCTCACACAACACTCAGACAGTTATGGGTACAAACCACAGGAAAAAAAAAACCAAAAACAAAACAGGTGAAGGATTAAACTGTTCAATCCTACGCACTCCTGTTGGAAGACAGACCCCTGCTGAACTGCAAAATCGATCTGCTCTCTTGGGGATGGGTAATCCCATCTGCTAAGGAACAGAAATGTTCAAATGTGCCTTGATAGACTATAAAGTCTCAATAGGCTATATAATACATATATATATATATACCACATGGGAGATCTGCAAATGGCTGACCAGCATTGTTCGCATGGACCACAATTTTGTGCTCCGCCACGCGCAGACCACATGGGTGACCTGCAAAGGACTGACCAGCAAACAACCCAACACAGTTTGGGCTTACAGCACCATCTGGGTGATCTGCAAATTGCTGGCCGGCATCCAACAAACCAGCCTGAGAACCTCACCAATCTCTGTAGTCTGACAGCAACTAATATCTGTCTTCACATTCTCCACCGCCCGTTTTATACACCATCAGACTTCCTTGCAATCGCCCTTCAGCTTGATGCTGATCTTCCCCAACTACAGCCAGAGGATTGTAATTATACCAGCGAAGGAGGCTTTACCATTGCTGTCCTACAAGTAGCAATGAGGGACCGTCCACTTGAACTACGCAATGCTCGAGCAGGTGAGTGGTTTAATCCCCCATCCCACATCTCTGCCTGCGTTGTGCATGGCCCTGGCCATAATATTGGCCAGTGTACATGCCTCTGACCGCTGGGAGCTGTGGGACAACGGCACCATGGTCCATGCCATGATTGATGTCACTGATTTCTTACAAAATGATGCTGTTTTCTTGCCACAACAAACCGTCCGCAATCTCTTTTATGTCGAAGATCATTCCTCTGGCCCCGTGCTGCAACAAGACAATGTATCAACGCTCTGCGACCTTCTCCTTTGCACAGCCACAAACACTGTTACACTTGGCTGTAGCCGCCATCGTCTCTGTCACAATCACTACAATGACATGGTTTCTGCATCCATGTGTGCATAGGACTGTCCCACTGTTCCTGACTGCAGGCACCCTCCGCATCCGGACACTGCATGCCCATTTTTGCGGCCATGGGCGCTATACTGAATGCATGCTCTTTTGTGGTGACCATTCTTCTTTCATTTTGGCCTGCAATCGACATGCCTTTTGTCGGGGGTGTATGGTGGGCATGCTCAATGCCACCCGTCGTGGCAATTGTTGCACTGAGAATGCTCAGCTAGGTCTTCCATGTGTTCATCCACCTCTTCCTTACAATGTATGTCCTCTCTGTCGTCAAGGACAGACTCATTCTTGAGCCTTTTCTTATCCTCTTTTGCCTTCATCTTCACTCCACACTCCATACTTTCCCTTACTTTCCCTTTATCGTTCTTTGTGTGTC